TCTTTACAAGTTAAACCAACAGATTTGCTCAAAGCAAGTTGCCATAAACCTTCAAATAGTAAAAAATAAAAAAAAAGAAAAGAAAGAAAGAAAAGAAAGGAAAGAAAAAGAAATATATCTGCGAAGCACAATGGACAAAGTGCAATAAAGCAAGGTGGAGTGCCTGTATTAAAAGATCTAAAATTATATTGAAACACCTGCACAGTGAAAAAGTATTCCACATCCGTGTGCCCTCCGGATTCCCATGTCCCGAGGGGCCTTCCCTACGTAAGAGTTCTGAGGATGACCAATCCCCGCTCCCTGCCCCCGCCCCCACCCATCCTCAAGGCCTGCTCTTCTGCAAACATGTTGAGTTGTCCCTGGGCTGCCTCCCTGGCTCAGGGTCCCCCCACTGCAGCCTCAGGAGTTGGCTGGCCCCGGGGGGCCACCTCCCTCAGCCCTCATCACTCACGTTGTAGAGGAGGTCAGTCCACCCTTCCATGGTGATGCACTGGAAAACAGTCAGCACTGCAAACAGGATGTTGTCGAACTGAGTGATCCCGTTGTTGGGCCCTTCCCAGTAGGGCTGGCATCTGGTCCCATTGGGGCAGGTGCGGGCGGGTTCCTCTGTCCCACATGGAGCTGGGGACTCACTCTGAATGTCATCTGTGAAAGGGAAGGGGAGAACAGTCAGAGAAGGAGCCTGGGAAAAGCTCTGAGAAGCAGGGGCCCAGGAAGAGGCAATGCTGTTGGGAAAAAAAAAAAAAGGGTTATTGGGATGAATTTATCGATTATGTTAAAAACAAACCCAGCACTGGCCTTCGTTGATCTATTCATTGTTTTCTGTTTCATGAATTTCTTCTCTAAGCTTTATTACTTTCCCTACACTTTTTAGATGAATTAACTTCCTTTCAAGCTATAAACTGCTCTGTAAGTGCGGCTTTAGCTGCACCTCATAAATTCTGTCACGTGTCATCATGGTTCAGGTGAAATATTTGGCAATTTCCACTATTATTTCTTCTTTGACCCAGGGATAACCAAGAAGTATTTCTCTTAAAAAAAAAACTTGTCAATGATATGTCAAATAGAGTAGTATAACGAACTCCCATGTACCTATCACCAATTTCAACATTTATCAACTCAGGGCCACTCTTGTTTCATCTATAACCCCTTCCCACACTTTGCCTTGCCACTAGAATATTTTTAAAGAAAATCTCAGACATCCTGTCATTTCACCCACAAATAGCCATGTCTCCCAATTTCCAGACACATTTAGAATGGTCTTTTTTTGTTACCGATTTCCAGCTTAATTGCATTGTGGCTAGTGGATATGTTCTGTATTATTCAGTCTTTTGAAATCTGTCAAGATGTGCTCGATGGTCCCGAATACAGTCAACGCTGGTAAATGTGCCGTGTGCATTGTGAGGTGGTTGGGTGCAGTGTTCTCCAGACTCCGTTAGGGCAAAGTTGTCCATCACACTGTTATCCTTCTGTAGCCTGATTTTTCTTTTCTTGAGATGTGCTGGGCTCAGGGAGCTGTTCTGGGGGCGATGAAGGCCAGTACACACAGTACTTACTCTCAGGCACAGGAGCTAAGTTCTCTCCCCACAAAGCAGGAGGCAGATTGTGAAAATGCCACCAGTAGAGAGACACGTGCGAAAGGAAGAGCCTTTTGCTAGAAACCAAAGACAGCTCTCGGCTAAGCTGGGTTGGGGCTGATAGTCGGGTCTAAATTCCGAGGGGCTGATCGGGAGGGAGAGACGCCTGTGTGAGCACCTGGAGCCAGCGGAGCACACGTCCCGGGGGTGTCCCCAGCGGACCAGAGCGGCAGACGGGAGAGGACCCTATTCAGGGAGTGACATTCTCCACCAAGAAAACAGACAGCCGAGTGTGTAAACTCAGGCTTCCCACTAAATGAAAACTCAGCTCAGTGCATGTGCTCCAGGCTGCGCACCAGGCCCCGCCTCCACGCAGCACAGGGACATCCACCAGCAGGGAACGCAGGCGTCTCATCGGCCTTTGAAGCTGAGTTAACAGAAACTCGAAGTCCTGCAAACTAATGCCCGCAGCTCTCAGAAGTGTCACTAGTTTAAGGGGCTGGGAACGCCTTCCCATTCACCCTGGACCTGGTGGAGGGGCCATGGTTTAAACATAAGGCTCAGGGCAGGGCGAAAAAAAATCATGGGCTCCTGTACGAAATGAGAACCACTGTTTGTTGGGAAGGTTGCCTCTGCTGGGCACCTTCTGCCTTCACCCTGTGCCCGAGTCTGGCTCCGTTCCTACCCGTGTTACCCCACTGACTACTGGTCCCTCCTTGTCCTCAGGGCTGCAGTAGCTCTCGCATGTTCATAGCACGGGGATAACATCTTGAATTCGTTTTCGTTACTGTGAATTGGTTGCAAAGGAGGGCTCTTGTCTCCTTAAACTATTTTGGAAGCTGTTGGAAAGCGGGTAGAGTTCCACTTTATCTTTGTGTTTCTTTTCTTTTTCTTTTTTTTTAAAAAAAGGCGTCTCTCCATACCAATCAATATATTTATTGATTTTTTTACAGAGAGGAAGGGAGAGGGATAGAGAGTTAGAAACATCGATGAGAGAGAAACATAGATCAGCTGCCTCCTGCACACTCCCTACTGGGTATGTGCCCGCAAAGGTACATGCCCTTGACCGGAATCGAACCTGGGACCCTTGAGTCCACAGGCCGACGCTCTATCCACTGAGCCAAACCGGTTAGGGCTCTCTTTGTGTTTCTGTGAGCATTTAGCACGGTGCTGGGCGCATGGGAACCGGGCTCCTGATGACAAAGAAATGCAACGGAAAACGTGTCTATCTTTAGTGGCTCTGCCCAGTGGCGTTCTTGATCCCGATCCCCCTCAACTCCCTGCCTCCCTTCGTGAAACACGCGGAGGGCTGCTTCTGGAAAAGCAACCGTCCAGAGTCTGAGGAGTTTGGTTATAAATATATTTTAAAATTAACCTGCTGCCTGGGTGTCTGTATATATCTGTCTCTTACTCACACGCCTTATAATTTTCATCGTGAGCTCCTCAGTCATCTTCCTAAACGGAGGCTCCCCACCTCTGGGGGCCCCTCCCACGCCTGTCCCCTCACAACCCCACTCAGACCCAAGCCCAAGTCATGTGCCTTCTTGGCTGGAAAGGAAAAAAAGCCAACAAAGTGACCAAATCTAGGACCCAGATGTCCTGGTTTCTCTGCTCCTGGCTGCTTTTTCCGGGGGCCCTGCCCTGCATCTCTCCTCGAATTCCCGCCTGGTGACGAGGCCAGGCGCAGAAATAGCTCTGCCTCAATTAACACCTTCTTCATCGGGGAAAGAAATAATTAGGACATCCCATATTGAGCGAACTGCACAAGCTCAGGAGAGAAGGAGACAGGAGGAGCAAGAAGAAAAAAAAAAAAGGAAAAAAAAGCATCTCAAATAAACCTTTCCTCCTGGGGTTTCCTTTCCCCTGGGGAGGGGGCCGAGCCGCGTGGGGGTCACGGCAGAGCAGGTGGGTGGGAAGGCTCTCCAGGGCAGAACCTTCTCCCAGCAAGACCTGCCTACAACCTCTCTCCTTCCTACGCGGGGTCTCTTTCGGCTCCACCGTCACTCTGTCCATTCCTTCAATTCACGGAGCCCCGGACCCAGGACTAGCGCTGCCATCCAGCCCGTTTGCGCCGGGACAGCCAGTGGTCCAAATCCTGAACCACAGGCTTCCCTCCGTATCTGGTTCCAGTTGGTTCTTGGCAGCAGGGGATTTAACGGAAAATGTATCTGGAAGCTATTGGGTCTCCGAGTGTGTGGATAGTGGGGACACTGCCCTGCCACATTGCTGACTCAGAGCTGAGTCCCGGGTGGGGGCGGGGGGGGGCCTCCTGGCTTTCCTCCTGCCCCACACCCATTCTTCTTGCCCCAGCCACTGAGGGGCTGACACGGACGCAGCGTGGACGGAGAGGGCCCAGGACCTTGTTCTGACGGGTCAGTGCCAGGACTCCCAGCTGGAGTGTTTGAGGCACATGTGGAAGTCATCCCTGTTCTCTTCTTCAGGTCACCACCCAGAAAGCAACCAGACCCCTGGCCCGGGGGCCCTTCCTCTTCCTGCTTTGGGACTCAGCGTGGGCTGTGGGCACTGCCAGGGAATTTGGCAGAGGCGGCCGGCACCCTGTCCGTATCCTGTTGCCACCTGCCCTGCCCGAACCCACCCGAAAACACCTTTGTGCCCACCCAGGAGCCATCCTCACCAGTGATGGGCAGAAGTCAGTGAACAAGTACCCAGCTCCCTCGCTCCTCAGGGGCACGGCGCTGAGCTGTGTGTCCTCTGCTGTCTCCCCGAGGTGCCCAATGGGACCGAGCCCCGGCTGCCCACAGTGGTAATCTGCTTGGTGACACCCCTTTACGAGAGGTCTTCCCTTCCCTGTCTGACTTCCACACGCCCCCGATGGCACTTCCTGGGACCACTTCCCAAATAAACCACTGCAAGCTTCTGGGGAACCCCAAAGCAAGGCCCTGGCAACAACAAGATCTGGGGTGCTGCTATGCCCCCCGTCTTGCCTGCAGTGCATCTGGAAGCTTCCCGGAGAAGCGAACCCTGCAGAGCCCTCCCAGGAGCTTGTCCCCAGGGGAGGAAAATACACGGGAACAAGGTTGGGAAAAAACACATGATGAGGTTCGGACCTACCTGTCCCCTCTTCAAAGCAGGTGGTATGAAATTTTCCCATATAAAATTCTAACCCTATGATTGCAAAAATAAGGATTGCAAAAAATAGGAGAAGGCCGATCTGCAGCAAGGGGATCATCGCCTTCATGATCGACTTCAGGACGACTTGTAAACCTGGGGAGACAAGGAGAGATGCGCCATGGCCGTGAGCAGTACCCAGGAGCCCCCCCCCCAGGCTTCCGAGGGAACCCAGAGCCCACAGGAGGCTGGGGATGGCTGATGGCGAGGAAAGGACACACAGAGGCTCCTCATTATTACAATAGGAACAATCCCCCTTGATTTTTAAAAGCACTTATTTTAAAAAAGTATTTGCTATATGCTGTGTCATTTGATGAACCTGTGGGCTAAAAGAAGTGGAAATCCATTGCTTTCTGAGCCATGGTCCCAGGTGCTGGGTGGCTCTCACCCAGAGCGGGGAGCCTTTTACTAATTTTTTTCCCCACCAACAAGGGCCTCTTTTCCTCATTTGTGCCAAGGCACCATGTAGACAAGTAGCAACTCTGCACGGGCAAGCAGTCGGCCTCCCAGTTCCAATCCAGAGAAACCAGACATAACTTCCCTGGCTTCTAGCACAAGCCCGCCACGCGGTGGGCGCACGTGTAAAATGATCCCCGTTTGCAGAGGTGGGAGGGAGGCACAGAGAGCGGTCGTGATTCACCCAAGGGCGTGAGAAACAACAGAGCCGGGACTCAAACCCAGGTCTGAGTGGTGTCAGAGCCCATGTTTGTGACCACTGGGCTACCTATTAGGAAAGTCTGTGGTTAAAATTAGGGTTCCAACATATAACCCGGGACTTGCTTCTTGATGAGAGAACTTTGCACGGCCCAGATCAGCACCTCCTGACAGGTGGAGACCCTAGCACGAGAGGGACACTGTCGAGATGGCCCAAGGGGACTATGATGGAAGGTGATGCTAATGGAGACAGCGTGGCACCGTGGGCCAAGCCAGAACCCCTGTGCTGTGGGGGCATCCACCCTCCAGCTGCTGCGAGCATTGGCTGCTAAGGGCTTCCAGCTCCCCTCCTCTTCACAGGGTTGCCCTTGGTTATAAAGAGATGCCTTACCTGGGAGACTGGTGCTGCCCCACTTCCCCCCGCCCCCCAACAATTGACCAGAGAGTACAAAAGGCCAGCCTCCTTGCCTCACAGTGGAGGACAACCCAGGTGCTATTCACACTCCATTCCCTCATCCCCTCCCTCCTAACAGCCCCCTCCCCCATAAAGAAGGGGCACCTGAACACCTAGGTCTGCTCTGAGGGGGCCAGACGGCCCTAGGCATCTACTTGCTGGCAATGTGACCTTGAACAAGCCAAGTGGCCCTTCTGAACCTCGGTTTCTCCACCTGTCAATGGGCATGACAACAGTGCCTCCCTCCCACAATTAAATGAGGGAGTTCATACCTAGCAAAGCCCCTGACATGTCAGACTCCTGTTAGCGTTAGCTTGGGGATGGCTCTTAATTTAAAATGATGCAGGCACCTGCTGGGACCCTGCAGACACCTGGCTAGAAGTGCCTTCGTTCTACAAGGAGACCCTGCTGGTGGTCTTATGGGGAATCCTATGCTTTAAATCTGGATGGCAATGAACCTGAAGAACGACACCAGTGACAATGGTGACAGCAAGAGAACTCACATCACAGGCTTGTTATGGGGATACATGAGTTTAAAAATGGCAAATACTTAGAACAGTGCCTGGCGCATAGTAACCAAGGCCGTAGGACAGAAAAAGGCCAGCTCAGTGTTTGTTTGGTTTTTGCAGCTGAACATAACCCTGACCCTGAATATTGCAGCCACCGCCAGAGGCTGGAGGAGAAGCACTCGTGGAGAATGAGAAAGCAGGGCGGAGCGAGAATGGACTTCGGGGCCGGCCACCAAGAAGCTGCAGGAACTCAGGTTTTTAGTTTAACCTTTCTGCGTCTCAGCCTTTGCATCTGTAAAACGGGTTTATGGGGTGATTACAATCATGAACTAAAATAATGCATTTAAAGCTTTGTGCAGTGCCTGGTACACCACACAGGCATTCCAGAAACGGGAACGGTTACTGCCACCAGGGTTACTGCCCAGGCGTGGGGCCGCGCTTGCCAACGCCTGGTTCTGCCACTTAGCAGCCATGGCACCCTGATCAAAGTATTCAGCCGCCCTGAGCCTGTTCCCCCATCTGTAAAATGGAGATTTCAGGACTAGCAGCTTCGCAGGGCTGCGAGTACTGAATGAGATGACGTGTGGTACTTAGCGTGGCTCCTGGGAGACGGCAGGCGCTCCACAAATGGGGGCTGTGGTTATGGATGAGGCTCCTGGCCTGCTTTCAGGAGCTCACCCAGACCTGAAGCCAGGTTCCTGAGGGTTCCCTGGGGAGCTTCCCCAAAGGGTAGGGCAGCACCCGGGGCCCCTCCTGAGATGCAGGGGGAAACCGACGACTCCAGGGCCCTGAGCAGACCCCTTGCCAGGATCGGAAACTCACGCACTTGGGATTCCAGACACCAGCTTGAGCGGTCGCAGCACTCGAACTGCCCTCAGTGTCCGTAGGTCAAACTCTGTCCCAACTGTCGCCAAGATGCTGGAAGAAAGAGACCAGAGTGGAGAACAGAGGGTGGGTTTCAGGGTCAGACAGATGGGTGGGCGGGGTGCTTGGGGTGTGATGTTGTCAGTTATTGGCTGGTTGACCACAGGCAGGTGACGTTACCATTGCTGGGCCTCAGTTCTGTCACCTATAAAAACAGTGTTAATGTTGCTGGCTTCCCGGGATAACACGTGATTTTTGACCCCAAACAGGTGGGTGGTTGATGACAATAAATGCTGGAGTAGGAGGAATGGAATGTGATGATCAATACATTTCACAACCACCATCAGAATGGATTGGGGGGAGCCTGGGGGTACTGGGGGGAGAGACGGGAGAATGGCAGAGCCTTTAGGGGCTTGGTGCTCTTTACCAACTGGCAGGAAAGTAGTTCAGTATTAATAGCCCGGACTAGCCCTAACCAGTTTGCTCAGTGGATAGAGCGTCGGCCTGCGGACTCAAGGGTCCCAGGTTCGATTCCGGTCAAGGGCATGTACCTTGGTTGAGGGCACATCCCCAGTAGGGAGTGTGCAGGAGGCAGCTGATCGATGTTTCTCTCTCATCGATGTTTCTAACTCTCTATCCCTCTCCCTTCCTCTCTGTAAAAATCAATAAAATATATTTAAAAAAAATAGCCCGGACTACATGGGTTCAAATCCTAGCTCTGCCACTTCCCAGCTGGGTGTCGTTGGGCACGTCACTTCCCTGCTCCCTGCCTCAGTTTCCCCCTTCGTATAATGTGATGACAGTACCTGAGAGTACAGTACTCAACACTACACTTCAAACAACAGTACACCGCAAAGGGTTGTGAGGATTAAATGAATTGATAGTTGCAAAGTGGTTGGCACAGTGCCCGGCACACAGGAAGCTACTCGTAAATAAATGGAAGAATGAACAAACCAAGAAGAGGTGTGGCCCTGATGGTGTGGACCAGCTGGCACTGGCTCTAGAAAGCAGCCACAGACCCCAAGTCTCAGGTCAAAATGCGCCACTCTTGCAAATACAGGTAAGAGAAGCCTTCTGTAGACCCCTACCCCACCTGGAAAGACCCCCACCTACTAAGACCTCATTTGTAAAAGCGTTACTGCTGAGAAAAGGGGTCCCACAGCGCCTCCTCCTAAGGCTCCCCGGAGAACCTCCCTGACCTGTTTCCTGAACGAGTCCATTTCCAAGGTAAGTGATGTAGAATGAGCTACCACGGAGCCACTCAGCAGAAAAGGCTGTCACCATCACTTCAGATGATGGACAAGAGATGCTGGGAACCAGTGGAGGGTGGCTAAGCAAATAATTTGAAGGTGTCATCAGTCTTTGCCAGGGGTCTGGACCTTACCACTTGGGTCTGTAACAACCAGTACCTGCTTCTCTTTGACTGAGAGCTTTCTCCAAAGCTGAGAGCTTTCTCCAAAACTGAGACTGGCCCTATGGGAGCAGCCCGCAACCAGAGACTGCTGGGAGTAGGTGGATCAATTCCCAGCCTTCCTCATGTCTTATTCCAAACGGCTCTAAGATGTGTTCCCAAGAGGGATTGATCCCAGCTGCCACCAGAATCACCTGCCCATCAACACTTCCTGGGGTCACCTCCCAGATGAACTACTTGCACCTAAATCCTCATTTCAGGATCTATTCTGAGGCACCCCAAACTAAGACAGGGGTTGTTTCCAACTCTTTTTCAAGACTACTCCTAGAGCAGAGATGGCATTTTAGATTGGACGGACCTATTTTTCCACCATCAACAAATGTGCATCTGAGTATGTCCTATGTGCCAGGCAGTGCAACACACAAGACTCTTCCTGCCCCATGGAGCTGATACAGAAGAAAAATGTTTAACAAAAAAATGGACACAATGAATGAACCCACCACTGGTATGATGCATTCTTAGAGAGAGCCAGAAGACAACAGCTCTGACAGCACACAGCAGGTCATGTTAACTAGTTTGGGACCCAGGGAGGATCCATCTCAAGCTGAAGCCTCATGGATGATGATGAGGAATCTGGTCAGTGGGGGAAGAACTTTCTAGACTAAGGGAATGGCTGAGACAGAGAGCATGGGTGGGAAGAAGCTCGGTAAATTCAAGGAACGAGATGGTGCCATGAAGCTGGAGCACAGGAGGGAGCCATGCCATACAACCCCAAATAACTTCCCATTCAATTTACTCTATTTTTCTCTTCCTCTACCAACGTTCTCATATTCCTTTGAGTTCCTCAAACACAATTCTATTTCTACATCTCACTTTCTCCCCCTCTTGGCAGATAGTTGGTTAGAGTGTGCGGAGCAAATGACAGGCATCATTTGAGTCTTCATTGAATTCACAAACATTAGCTGAGTACCTACAACATAGGAGACAGAGATTCTGGGGGCACCAAGAATAAACCCAACAATATGCTGGGTGTCAGGGTGATGAGCACGAGAGAGAAAAGCAATGCAGGGAGGGGGGAGGGAAACATCAGCGACACGGGGCAGGATGAGGGGGGTAATGACATGAACATCAGTTGGGGAAAGCAATGGCTCTTTACCATCTGGCAAGGAAGTAACTCAGTGATAAGAATGCCCAGGAGAACTCCACTAAGAGCTGCGTGTAAAATTTGTAATTTTCTAGCAGCCACATTATGAGAGTAAAAAAAAAAAGCATGTGAAATTAATTTTAATAACATGGTTTCTTTAACCCCGTCTATCCAAAGCATTATCATTTCAACAGGCAATTAACATGAAATATTTATTAATAATACGTTTTATACGTTATTTTCTTTGGAGGAAGCCTTTGAAATCTGGTGCATATTCTTCACTTAGGGCACATCTTAGTTGCGGTGCTTAATGGCTGCATATGGCCAGTGGTGAAAGTCCTGGACAGTGCCGGCCCAGGGAAAGAGACACTGAAGTAAAGATATGAAGAAAGATAGGGGGTGAGCCTTATGAATAAGTCAGGGGGAAACTCGAGGCAGAGGGATAGCCAGTGCAAAGGTCCTGAGGCATAACTATACCTGGTGCATTTGAGGAACAGTGCAGAGGCCAGTGTGGCTGGAGCCAAGGGGGCCAGAGTGACAGTAGGAGGATGCGAGGGCAGGGAGGGGATGAGACCTTGCAGGCCACGGGAGGATTCTGGCTTTTGCTCGGAGTGAGGTGGGAGCTATGGAGGGTTCTGAGCAAAGGAGAGACATGATCTGACATAGAGAATAAGACCCCCCTGGGATAAGTCCAAAAGCTGAAAGACTTGGGGAGGAAGCAGCTGCATTGTTCATGGGTCTAGATCAGGTTGTGTTGGACGTAATGGTAACACTGAGGTGAACTCAACCCTGCCCTAGAGATGATCAAACAAGTAAGTGGATGAGAGACCAAGTCCTCTGGTCCCAGAGATGTAGGAGGCAGGAATGAGGAGGAAGTGAATACAGACAGGAGGGCCGGGGACAGCATCATCATCACCATCATCATCATCATCATCATCATCATCATCATCATCGCGGAGCCCGCGTCTGAGGAGGCAGCACAGCACCAAGCTCGCAAAATCTCAGACCTGGGGCTAAACCCCAGCCCCGTGTTTTCTCCTTGTGTGGCCTTTGCTGGGACGTGTCTGAGCCTCAGAAACGCAGAACTTCCCTCCTGCCCAGGGCCATCCTAGCCAGCACCCAAGACGGCCTGCCTCCTGGTCTCCTCCCTGGAAAGGTGAGAAGGAAGGAGAAGGAGAAGGGGAGGCGAAGGAAGGCCTCTCTGGCCGAGAGCAGCCGCAGAGGCAGAGGCTTCGCTCAGGGTGTGTGGTGCCTAAGCCATCGGTGGGCTGCACGATGGAGGCTGTGAACCGGAGGCTGAGGAGGCGGGTCTTGTCGTGCGGACAGTGGGAGTCATGTAAGGTTTCGGAGCAGGGGAGGGATGTGATTGGGGTTGGCGTCAGGAAGACAAGCCTGACAGCTGAAAGGACAGATTGGTGGTGATGGGGGCAGGAGCTAGGAGGGAGCCGCAGAGCAGGCCGGCGTAATGAGGGCTGGAAGTAGGACAAAGGCAGTGGGAGTACAAAGGAGGCCCCGGTTTATATTTAGCTGCCATTGATTGCTGTGCACCAGGGAGCTTGCCTGGGCTCATCCATTCCTTCCTGCAGCCCAGCATTTAGCGGGATGAGCCCCATTTTACAGAGCAGGACACTAAAGCCCAGAGGTGTTACTGATGCATGGAGATCCACACCACCGAATAAGACCTTGGACCCGGGACACCAGCACTCCAGAACCCCAGTTCTCCCCGTCACAGGGCTCCCTGGATGGGGCTAGGGCCGTGGTAGACAAACTGCGGCTCGCGAGCCACATGCGGCTCTTTGGCCTCTTGAGTGTGGCTCTTCCTAAGCCTTAGGAGTACCCTAATTAAGTTAATAACAATGTACCTACCTATATAGTTTAAGTTTAAAAAAGTTGGCTCTCAAAAGAAATTTCAATCGTTGTACTGTTGATATCTGGCTCTGTTGACTAATGAGTTTGCCGACCACTGGGCTAGGGCAACGGTGGGGATGAAAGGGAAGGGAAGAACGGCTTTCTGGTCTGAATGAACCACCGAGAGATGGGCATTTGTTTATCCAACAAGGTTTATTAGCACCTACTATGGGCTGCGTGCTCAGGTAGGGCCTGAGGATGCCGCCATGAACAGAGTGACAATGGTAAAACACATAGTAGGTCAAATGGTGGGAAGTACTTCGGAGAACAGTACAGTCCAATGGGAGGGTGGAGCGTGGGGTGGGAGAGAGAGGAATCAGGGCAATTGTAGAGTTCTGACCTGTCCTATCTGAAGGAAGGAGTTGCTGTGATTGAGATGGGGAAGACAGAGGAAGGGGTAGGTTCGAAGAAGATCAAAAGCTGGTTGTGGACCCGTTGAGTTTGAGATGCCAGTTCTCTGTAACTCTCTTGTCAAAACTTTCCACTGGATCCCATAAGCTTAGATTAAATCTAAAACTCTGCCATGACCACAAGACCTTCTGTGCCTTGACCCCTGCAGGCCATGCCTCCCACTCCGGTCACTCTGACTTT